AACGGATCCGAAATCTTGTCAACATCAAATATGAATTCACCGCTGAAACTTCAAACGTTGTCTCGTTCCAGAGTGGGACAAGGGATTGAGGACCTGAAGCTCCAGTATCGGTGAGCGATAGATGGCAACAGCTCTACTACTTTTTCTTATGGTGCTTCCCACAAAACTTTCCCTTAACTGTTTAGATTGCCATCATAACCTTTCTTTTGGCAACAAAACCCCAATATGGCACATAAACTCATAAACGCTGGTACCTAGAGTGGCGTTTGCTCTTCTTCTCTTCTAAAGGAGCAACTATACAAATAGTATATACAGAAACCATTTTAACAGCTCCCAGACACATACCACATGTGCTCTTGGTAGTTTCATCTGATTAAAGGGGCAAAACTATATAACGAATATATATAAAAAACCTTTAAACAGCTCCCAGCTACGTACCAAGTGTCTTAGCTCGGCCCGTCCCCTTCCGTTAGTCACGGCCTGGACAGTCCTCATGGCACGTATCTTTTGGCCCGTATCTGTTTACGTATTGGTTATGACTTCATCAATTCCTAGGATAAGTGCCCTGTAGTAGTCACTTAAACTCAGATTTTTTTTTTGGTGGATTCATCTGATCAAAGGGGCGAGCTATACTAATAATAATAAAAAACCTTAAAACAGCTCCCAGCAGCTTTTTTTTTGGTAGATTCATCCTAATCTTGTGGTAAAGCTCCATGCAATTTATACTCCTTTAAAGTGTTGTAGAGTGGCAAAAATTAATAACAGAGGGAAAAGAATCCAGCTTGAACATAAACTCATACTGCTACTAATTATCTAACCAAGCAACCGCCTCGAAGGTGCAAGAAAGGACTCCGTGGCCAAGCTGGTTAAGGCGTAAGACTGTTAATCTTGAGATCGTGAGTTCGATCCTCACCGGGGTCGTCATTTCTTTTCTTTTTCTCCGATTCATATAAGATCAAAGTAAATGAGAAAGACCATTGTGACTACATGTCATGCATTTCCTTGACTCAAATGCAAGAAAGTTTTTTTTCTCAGAGATGTCTTTTGAACCGTTTTATCCTGCCAAAGGATTTGGTGTTTGACTGCGTTTAAACTTTTTTACTAATCAACCTCTCACTGAGATGGTGCGCGAGGTGATCATGCGTTGAATCTCATATTCATGATACCATAACAGCGACAGTTTAGAGACAAACTTCGAGTGTCTCCAAATTCAAAACTTTGTGCGAAAGTGTTGTTTGAAAGTGTCTGATCATCTATTCTGAGCTCATCTCCAACACAGAATCTTGGTTATGTTGCAATCTCAATTCCACATGACGAGCAAGTAAAACAATGTGGAGCGAGAGAACCATAGCAGCTGGACTCTTTCACGCAAAAGTACTTGTGCTTTCTGACAAAAGAGTAGACATACCAAATTTGAGCAAACGTTTTTCCACTTAAGTCAAGTATGCTTATGAAAAACATGACTCATTGGACGTTTGGCGTAGCCACTTTCCGGCAATTAGTCTCCTTAAACGTTCTGCACTTAACACAAGCTCCAGGCAGCACGCAACATTGCTGCGCGCCTCACGTCACTTACAATGCTTCCCCAGAGCCATAAATAGAAGGACGAGGAACCACTACTAGTTTCACCAATAGTCATATTTTTTTCATCTTTCAGACAATAGTGAGCACCGTATTCTCACAGTCAAGAAAAGCCGGTTTATTCATAGCACCCCACCTGACCACAATTCCCAGATTCGAACCTTACCATGGCGTTGTACTACAACTTGGTGTTTGGCCTACTTGTCATTGAAATGGCGTTTTTTACTGTCTTGTCCTTGCCCTTCCCCCGGGCCATGCGCAAGTCTGTCTTGAGAACGGTGTCAATGCCTTTCCGATCCGAGCAATTCCAGATCGCGTTCAAATGTGTGTTTGGGTTCGTTCTCGTGCTTTTTATCGATTCTGTCAATAGAGTCTACACCGTGACGCTGGAGTTGCATGCGCTGTCGCCCAGCACAAACTCGCCCACAAGCATGATGAATGACCGCTCAGAGGTCCAGGCCCGCCGTTTCTATGCCCAGAGAAACATGTACCTTTGTGGTTTCACTTTGTTTTTGACGCTCATTTTAACGAGAACATACTCCTTGGTGGCTGAGTTGATCGACACTAAAGACAAGTTGGACGCGAACAAGAGTTTGGCTGGCGCCAAGGGTGTTTCGGCAGAGTCTTCCGCGTTGAAGAAGGACTTGGCTGACAAGGATGCGGAATTGTCCAGGTTGAAAACTCAAGCGTCCTCGTTGGCCGCCGATTACGATGCCGAGTCTTCCAAGTAATATGTCTGATTTGATGTGTATAGTCAAACACTGTAAATCGAACCATTTTGTGCGCTGTAGTGAGGAGGACTTGAAAGAGTGGGGAATATTAAGAAGGGCACTATAATTACTGAAAGTTGCGTGGATGATGTGGAAACACTGAACGATTGCAATTGTGGCCATTGAGTCAAAACACCCGAGCGATTGAGATAAACATGCGTGACCTAAGTGGACAGGAGGTTAAAGTGGAACCATCGCGGTTTGTCTTTTTCCGAAGATATTTTACAGCGTTTCCAAGAACTAATTGTTTACGTCTGTTGTAATTCAGGACTCGAACCTATAAGTTGTTTACGCAGGCTTTGGAATACTCTGTAATCTCAATGAAAAGCCTTTGAAACCAGCTGTAGCAGGTTGTCTAAAACAGCAATGTATGTTACGCAAAAGCCTCCAGGAATTGCCAAAGCCAGACCAAGTATTCATCTATTTCTCGAAAGAATCTCAGAAGTAACGCTTAATTACTTGGAAAACTAACCGAAAAATTCTTAGATATGAAAACAGCAAATATGCCATGTTTTCTGAATGAAGCCTGGGGTGTAAGTTAAAATGGCCCACGTCCCTCGTTTCTATGCTTGAGCTTTCCCAAAATGTTTTCCTTTTTGAAATAAATCGCTCAATTTTCCCATGAAATAGGTCATACAAACCAAATTTAGTCCGCCATATGATTTCACAATGCTAAACTTACAGTGCACCAGGACAGCTTGATAATTGGCAAGCCTCGAAAAGATCAGGGCTACTTAACGAGCTTGACCAGACTTTCATTTCCATAGAGCTAAAATCGACTGCTTCCATAATGTATACACGAGAATCTAGTAGGTATGTAAGTATAGGGAAGCTTCAGCAGATCACTCTTCTGCAGCAGCAAGTGTATAAATCTAATAGCAGCCCTGTTCAATGAATGGAAGCAAGTGAATCCTGAACCCCGATCGATCATTTGCAAGATGTTGCTGTGCGGAAGTAAAGAATGTGAGACCAGACACCGAAGGGTACCATGATAGTCAGTTTAGGCAGGGGGTCCATTCATGGGAGCTTGAATCGAGAAGTCCAGCGAAGAGGCCACACAGTCCAAAAAACATATGTAGGACATGAGAAATGCATCCTACTTCTCGCTTTAGACCCCGGCCACCAGAACTGCTTTCCAGCCAGTTCTCTACTTGGACTCGTAAGCATTGCTCTTGTGCTTGGGCACAAACAGGAAGTTGGAACTGGCCTTGCCCAAGAACATTTCAGTGATCTTGATCCAGTCCCTGTAGTCCGTAGACCCCAACAAGGTCTCGAGCTCGTTTCTGCCCTTCCACTTTGGGGGCCGCTCGTTCAATTTGGGAGGGAGCCGCTCGAGGATCCCCACGGGAATGTATCTGTGGGTGAACCCAATAAACTCGCACATGTAGCGCCGGGCATTTTCAATGCCGTACTCGTCGGAGCCCCAGTGCTCAACCGCAAAGTCAGCAAACTGGCGCATGTACTCGAGCCGCTCCGTGGCGCTCTTGTCCAAGTACTGCTGGGCGTCGATCTCCTCGAATATCCACGGCTTGATCAACGCACCGCGGGCCACCATGACCGAGTCAATGCCCTCGGTGTTGACGGCATCGTGCCACTGCTCGAACGTGAAGCAGTCACCGTTTCCAACAAACCAAGTGGGGGGCGCGTCCCGCAAGTCCTTGTTCTGCTCGTTGGCATGGTTCCAGTCCTGCACCACTTTGCCCACCTCGGCAATGTAATTCCAGTCGGCCTCCCGGGTGTACCGCTGCTGTCTGGAGCGGCCGTGGAGCGTGATGGCGGCCACGTGCGTCTCGGCAAGCACACGCGACACCAAGCTGGCCGCGGTGTTCTTGCTGTCCTTGGTGCCTGTTCTGATCTTGAGCGTGACCGGGATATCGCCCGAACACGCGTTCATGCCGTTGAGGATCCGCACCATTTTCAGAGGCTGGTCCAAAAGCGCGGAGCCCTGGCCCTGACGGTAGAGCAAGTCGATGGGGCAGCCCGAGTTGAGGTTGAGCTCGGAAACATGGGTGGTTTCCCGCGCAAGTGCCTCGGCAGCCTTGCTGGCCTGCTGGTGGTGGTTGGAGGCAATCTGCACCCCGAAGCCAGGGCACTCCGAGCGGTGGGCCTTGGGCAACGCCCACTCCGGCTTGGTGCCTTGGAGGAGGGGGAGCGCAAGCGCCATTTCGGAGTACGTGATGTCGGCCCCAAGCGTTTTCATGAGGCGCCGGTACGGCAAGTTGCCGACAGTGGTGAGCGGCGACACGATCTTGGCGCCGCGCAAATGGACGCGTTTCTTCTCTGCGGGCGCGAACGGCGGCTCCACGTACGAGGCCATGTTGTTTTTCGAGTCCTCCTGCTTGCGGGCGAGGTTGGCGTCGTTCTGCACGAACGAGTCCAAGTACTTGTTGTACACACTGGCCTTGTCAAACAGGTACCTGTTTTTCTGCAACGCGATGCGGTGCGCGGGGTCGATTTTGTTGAGCTCCGCGGGCGACTCCTTCTGTGCTTCCATCAAGGCCAAGTCCTTGGCAAGCGCCCTTGTTTCCTTGTTGTAGTGGCTGCCCAACCACCGACACTTGATGCCTGCGGGGCAGTAGCCGATGGCCCGAAACACGGGGCAGTCGCCCGCAATGTCCTCGGGTTTCAGCTGGAGATATGAGTCCACGTCGTGGGTGTTTTTGCACTTTTCTCCGTAGGCACATTCTTTTCCCAGGCCTGGGTCGAGCACTGAAGAGCAGAGCCTGATGTCCTCTTTCTGCTGCTTCAAGTCCCGCTTCTTGTTTTGGCCACGGCCTTTTTTGCTGCGCTTGGACTGGTCGGCCTGGTCCCGGTCCCCGCCTTCGGCGGCCTCGTCGTCATACGCCTCGTCTGTAGTGGTGGACTCTAGAATATACTCGGGCTTGATGGGTGCAAAGCCTTTCTGCGTCGACAGTCTCTGCGGCCTTTTGGGCTCGGGTGCGTCTGCAGAGTCCACGGGTCTTTTCTCGGCTTCCGTCATTTTGTGCAGAGATGATAAACGAGAGGTCTGCTGGATTTCACAAAGAAGAGACGAGGATCTCGGAGTTGACGGTGAGATTCCTCGGCCTGGTCTCCAAAAAATTATGCCGCGTCATCGCGCAGAGATGCCTGCAAGATGCCTGCACGGATATGCACCTACGGCTACTTGGGCCGAAGCAGTGGGGGAGTCGTGGGGCATATTTTGATCTCTACAGCGCTTTTTCAGGGAACTAGGGATGTCCAGTTTTGAGGGGAAAAAGATTATTCTTAGACAGAGACAGCACCGGAGCCCGTGAACCTGTGCGTTTCACAATCCTGGCGAAGAGTGGTGCTTAGTATTAGACATTATCAATCTAGAAAATCATCAAATATGAAGTAGGCTGTGGAGTTCATGGCAGCGCCGTTTGCACAGATCTTCAAAAAACACCCGAATTTAAAATGGGTCCTATTGACAAAACCGCAGTTCACACGGATCTATTCGTTGGATTCTGGGAACGAAATGGGACATTAATAGCATACGTCCTAATAAAGACGTAGCACAGGTGGCTCACCCATAGATCTCTCGTTTTCAAATCCATGATCTATGGCTCAATCGAAGGGTGCTGCAAAGAAATTGACGGTTTTTGAAGAAGTCCCGATTTAGAGAGACTGCCCATGAGCGAACGGCGAGGAGCCCACATTTGCATATTTGCTGGAGGGACATACATATATGCAATTCGGATCGGTCACAAGAGGGGAGTTTTTCTTACTCATTTTTTGACCATGAATACATCACGTCAGAAATCAATTTTGAGAGGTTATAAGTGTGTACGTGCAACGGTTTCCCCAGTTCTCAGACCATGGATTTGTAGAGTCTGAAAAGGAATAATGCACTTTATTTTACGAAACAGATTGTCTGGCTGAAAGGCACGCCTTAGAAGAAGGCAGCAATGTGGCGTGAAGCAGACCTAAACGCAGTTCAAAGTGACAAGTATTTATGGCACCACATGAAATTGTGGCTTGATAAAGATGAGTAGTGCAGCATGGGGTGGCAGAGATGTTGCTGATGATATTCAGGAGATATAGAGACATTTAGCGGTTTCACATACAGGTAAGCACATACAGAATCCGACAAGTTCCTTTGGGAAAATCTTCATCTTGAATAGTATGATATGAAATTCCAACGTTAATCTTATAGTGGGGATCTCAAGGAGGAAAATTCGACATAGTCACCTAGGGCCGGACGGTTTAGTATGTATATTACGAGGAACATCAGCGATCTCTTCTGGAAAGACCTAACAGGAATAAGATTAGAATCATACATGGTAGCATATTTGCTACGGAATTATGTGCAATATGCGGGATCTGAGTAAACAATTTCTTGACCATTACTTCGTATCGCCAAAGAAAATGAATGAAGGCTGATATTAGCGTGTTCCGGTATTCGACGCCATCTTCTTTGGGCGACATTTATTCCCGACTCGGCACCTCCTTTTTTGATTGTGCTATCTCTGTAAGCTCCCCAAACTTGCAGCGAATTGGGCCATATGTCTGTTATATGTATGGTTGTATTTGGTCATCTCCCATACTGGCTCATGATGTCTGATTCGACACCAATATAAATTGCAACAACAATGACCCAAAAGACATATATACACAAGTACATCAGATACTTTGAGCTCTCGAGATAAAAGCACAGCTGTAACGAGTACTGCCTATTTTCAAAACGTACGCATCGACGTGCTTAGTTCACCACATAGCTAAGATGTACCGCATAGCCCTGGTGTGTAGTCTTGAGGTTCCCTAGAAATGACGGCTATGGTGGCGCCCAAATCAAATGTAATGTTTCGTTTTTGGAAAAGCCTGTTCTCCTCTTTCAACACACTGCATGGTGCACCGCGAGCAGGTATAGTGATGTACCACATAAATAAGGGCACGAATATCATTTGACCGATTCCAACACGGCAGTGTTGTTTGCGGAGATTTGCCAGAGGGATATGCAATTTTTGTAACTTCTTTCACTCCAGATGCTTCCTTTGAAATCCCAGCACCTGACTTCCGCCGGTGCTGCGAAATACCTCTGGGGCCGGAATCCTCACTCCATCCATCTCCCGCCAACGATGAACAAAAAACGGGGCCGCATCCCATTTCTTCCCCATCAAGTAGTCGGCCCTTCAACGCCACCAAAAATGGCCCCAGGTTCCACTCCCCTCCCAGTGCATGCTTCCCGAGCAAAGACACTAGTGCAGTGATAAGATTACGGCCCGCAGCATCGCAGGAGCCGGGCCCGCGCAGGGCCTGCGCGCATCTCATCGGAGATTTTTCAGCCTGCCATACTCCGTCTGCTCCACACCAACCACAACTAAACACCATGACTGGGGCCGTGGACAAAAAAAGAAAAACCGAGCGCGCCGGCGCCAAGGCGCCACGCATCTTCAGTCCCTTCCGCGCGTTGGGCAACGTGTCCAACGACGTGCCCTTTGCCGTGGGCTCGTTGGGCGCAACGTTCTACCTCGTGACGTCCGTCGGGCGCAGCTTCCAGATCTACGACGCGGCCAACTTGCACTTGCTCTTCGTGTCGCAGAGCCAGACGGCCAGCAAGATCACGTGCTTGGCCGCCCACTTCCACCACGTGTACGCCGGCTACGGCAACCGGGTCGGCATCTTCAAGCGCGGCCGCTTGGAGGCGGAGATCGAGCTCCAGCTCCGCACGCCGGCCGCGCACGTCAGCCATCTCTTGGTTTTCGGCGACTTCTTGGTCGTGGCGTCCACGGATGGCGGCGTGGCCGTGTACAAGAAGCCCGCCGGCGCGCGGCTCGCCACGCAGTTCTACACGGCGGTGGCCAGCATCAACCCGCAGCTCGACGGCGCCATCGTGGGCTTGGTGCACCCGCCCACGTACTTGAACAAGGTGGTGGTGGCCACCGCCAGCCACTTGTACGTAGTCAACGTGCGCACGGCCAAGACCGTGTACAAGACGCCCGAGCACGTGTTTGGCGAGCCGCTCTCGTGCATCGAGCACGCGCCTGCCCTCGACATCGTGGCCGTGGGCACCGCGGCCGGCGGCGCGTACCTCTTCCATTTGCGGAAAGCCGAGGTGTTGGGCGAGCGCATCGCCGCGGCGCCGTCCGACGCGGGCGCCCGTGTCACCGCACTCTCGTTCCGCACGGACGGCTTCGCGCACTTGGTGGCGGCGCTCAGCTCGGGCGACCTCTTCTTCTATGACTTGGCGCGGCGCAGCAAGGCGCACGTGTACCGCCGCTGCCACGGCGAGGCCACGGGCGGCGTGGCCAACGCGCGCTTCTTGAACGGCCAGCCCATCGTGGTGACCAATGGCGGCGACAACAGCTTGCGCGAGCTCGTGTTCGACCCACCGTTGTCGTCGTCCAACAGCGCGGTGACCGGCCCGCCGCGCCACTTGCGCTCGCGCGGCGGCCACCTGGCGCCGCCCGTGGCGCTCGTGTTCCCGGACGAGGACAAGCTGCACTTCGTGTACCTGGCGGCCAAGGACCGCGCGTTGTGGTGCTTCTCGTTGCGCAAGGACGCGCAGGCACAGGAGCTCTCGCAGCGGCCGGCCAAGAGCGGGCCGCAGGCTCGCGGCGGCGGCGTGGTGGCGCTGATGCGCGAGCAGTTCCCCGAGCTCACGGCGCTCGCCATGTCCGTGGCACGCGAGGGCGAGTGGGAGAACATGGTGTCCACGCACAAGGGCGAGGCGTTTGCGCGCACGTGGGACAGCAAGAACAAGCGCGTGGGCCGGTTCCAGCTTGCCACCGTGGACGGCGGGCTTGCCAAGGCCGTGTGCGTGTCGCACTGCGGCAACTTTGCGCTCGTGGGGTCGGCGCAGGGCGGCATCGGCGTGTACAACTTGCAGTCGGGCCGGTTGCGGCGCCGGTACATGTTGCACCGCAAGGCCGTGAGCGGCGTGGCCATCGACGGCATGAACCGCAAGATGGTCAGCTGCGGCTTGGACGGGCTCGTGGGCTTCTACAACTTCGCGGACCTGGCGTTCTTGGGCAAGCTTGACCTCGGCGAGCCCGTCACGGAGATGGTGTACCACAAGGGCCTGGACCTCGTGGCCTGCGCGTTGGACGACTTGTCCGTGGTGGTGGTGGACGTGGTCACGCAGAAGGTGGTGCGTGTGTTGGTGGGCCACACCAACCGCATCACGGCGCTCGACTTCTCGCCGGACGGCCGCTGGATCGTCAGCGCTGGCCTCGACGGCACGCTCCGCACCTGGGACTTGCCCACGGGCGGCTGCATCGACGGCATCCGGCTCCCGAGCGTGGCCACGCGCGTCAAGTTCTCGCCCATCGGCGACTTCCTCGCCACGACCCACGTGTCGGGCAACGGCATCTCCTTGTGGACCAACCGCGCGCAGTTCCGCCCGGTGCTGACGCGCCACGTGGCCGACCACGAGTTCTCGGCCGCGTTGTTGCCGGCGGTGTCCGGCGACGGCGGCTCGCTCATGATCGACGGCGCCTTGGACGCGCCGGCAGAGGAGGCCCACGCCGACCACCTCTACCGGTCCGTGGACCAGATCGACGGCGGCCTCGTGACCTTGGCCGTGGGCCCGAGAACGCGCTACGAGACCATCTTGCACGTGGACACCATCAAGCAGCGCAACAAGCCCAAGGAGGCGCCCAAGAAGCCGCAGCAGGCGCCGTTCTTCTTGTCGCTCTCCGTCGTGGCCGAGACGGGCGGCGCGCAGCCAAGACAGGCCCCCGCAGACGAGGAATCCGCGTCACGCTTGCTCACGTTGCGCGGCGACCAGCACAACTTCGAGTCCGAGTTCACGCGCTTGCTCCGAGAGGGCGCCGAGCGGGGCAGCTACTCGGACTTCTTGCGCTTGGTGGCCCACGCGTCGCCGGCCACGCTCGACCTCGAGATCCGCTCGCTCCACTCGTTTGCGCCGTTGACGGAGATGGCCCGCTTCGTGGCCGCGCTCACCGCGGGCTTGCTTGAAAACAACAACTTCGACACGTACCAGGCCGCGTTCGGCTTGTTCTTGAAGCACCACGGCGACGTGGTGTACGCCAACGCGGACGACGCGTTGGTGGAGGCGCTCGGGCGCTGGGCGCTGGCCAACGCGCTGCGCGAGCGCAAGCTCGATGAGTTGGTGAAGTTCTGCTCGGGGGTCGTGGACTTTGTGTCGGTGGTCTAGGCGCCTGGCAGCTGTGCTGGGGCGGACAGGGCTTGGACACGGAGTGTGTCGATGGGTGGATACCCGACAGATGAGTATGTCAGTACTGGTCAATATATGATACCAGACAAACGAATGGGCGGGGGATACCCAGTGGAACGACCTCATCGTAGTAGGGGACAATATGACCCGGGACACATATGGTGGAGTACACAGAACGGGCCATCATAGTGGTGCAATCCATGCTTGATACTAGACAGAACTCGCCAGGATTCGTGTCATAGAAGTCGCCAAAATTCGTATCATAGAACTCGCCAGGATTCGTGTCATAGAAGTCGCCAAGATTCGTATCATAGAACTCACAGAATGTGGACCCCACACAGGTGCCAGTTGGTGAGAATCGGCAGGGCTTGGCAACAATTCAACCAGGCTGACACCGGTCAAATCAATACGTAGCGCCGGTGTATGGGTGAAGCATACCAGAGAACGATCACGAGCGCAGAATGAACTCCGCTTACATCCAAAAAAGTGTTGCTGTCAGAATCTTGTGGGCCCCCAAAAACACCATGCTCATGTAAGAGCTCCGGACGGCACTAGGCACATACTTTCAATCACCGTGTGTTTCCAAGATGGTGCCGGAAAACCGGCATTCCATTGAGTCTCCAAGGGATCTCTTGTGGAGACAGAAACCGTCCAACCTCGAGAACCTGCCACAGAGCAATAGGAAGAGCCTAGCTAAATAACAAGGCTATCATTATCATCTCCTTATTCCCCCCAGTATCCAAGATTCTTACGGGTAATCAAGCTAGAACGTACCAGAAGAAAGCACCCGGAAAGCCGCTTGTAGGCGACGGTTCACACTAGGGACGCTCCTGTTTTTCCTGTTTTCTAAATGCAGATGGGCTACCAATTCAGTACAGCGTGCAGCTTGTATCCATAATAGCTTTTTAAAAACTCGCCGGCGTATAAACCTGTTTCAATCTTTTTGTATTGTTGGAGCGGGTCTCAGTTAGGAGCCGCCAAATGGCTGCGAGAGTGTTCCGGCGCGGGGCCTCCAGCAGCGATGGCAATATCAGTACCATGCCTAGTATTAGGGCTGAATTTGCAACAAGTCCTGGTTTTTTTTTAAGCTATGATAAATCATTGTATCAATTGTATCTAATAAAAGAAAAAAAAAAAAAAAAAAAAAAAAAAAAAAAAAAAAAAAAAAACCCCCAAAAAAAAAAAA